AGAAAAGCAATGAAAAGTAACCTCAATTCACACAGGCATTCCTGATTCTGCAATAACCACAGGGCAATGGGCTTGCATTTGGGTTATCACAATCCTGGTTGCAGCAATCCTGTATGTGAGCATTCTTATCCCCATTTTACAGAGGGGGAAGCTGAGGTCAAAGAGAGTCATTACCAGTCTTATCCTCCCACGCCTGGCCTTTACATGAAAAGTAGCTCCAGGACACTCTGGAGTAATACACAACACTCACTGGAGTGAGAAGAGTCCTATATCTCTCTAATTCATGAGAGTGCCGGGCTACTGAGTCCCAAAGTGAGAATGAGACAGCTTGGTTCTGGGATCCCTTCAACTCCCCAAACCCCAGGGCAGTTCAGCCCCCACCATGGGGCACCCACACCGTCAGCTGAGTCTCAGACACCTGAAGGCAGGACCTTGCTCTCACAGCCATATTCTTCTAGGTCTTCTGCTCTATTAAAAGATGCAAAACCCTATAATGACTTCAGGTTTCTATGGCAACTGTGATACACTGACTTGTCCTGTATACCTCACATGCCTTTGCATAGTTCCTTTGCCGATAGCTGAAAGCAAAATACATTCACACTTTAGACCACCATTTGAGAAAGCATACTCACTAGAGGAACTAGGCTGGGATCCAGGCAATTGGGGGAACTCTGCCAGGTTTGATGGAAGAAAGCAGGTCCCAGTGATCAAAAATTTGTTTAAAAGTAACAGTAGAGGAGTATCACCAGCATCCAGAGATCCAGGAGGACCCCAGAGCTCTTAGTGATGAGCTAGCCCTCTGAGAGTGAATGTGCAAAAGTCACACGTCATGCTAAGTGCTTAGTCATCTGTGGCAGAAAACTAGAGACTGTCTATAATCATATTTATGACTAAAATGATCTAAATGATCTAAAATACCATAAAATATCATTTAAGGAATCTCAAATTTATTTCATGTAAGCAAGCCTATAATAATATCATTTGGTAGGCAGATATCTGGTCAATTCAGTAATAAATTGGGTTATCCTAGAAAATTTTTATCCTACATTTTTGATACTTTTTCCATGTGGAGAGACATCCATGGGAAAAAACATATGTGGCGTCTATACACACTCACTCCTCTGTTACAGGAATGACTTAACTGACTGATGAGTTTGAAAGGAGAAACAGGTTATTCAACCCAGGTCCTCTCCCTTCAAAACTCTAAATAGTAAGCTGCCCTTCAGGGGCAATCAGAATGATTGCTCTGTCCTCAGGGATGGGTCTTACAATAGGCCTACAGCTCTACTCCCCTTCTGTGCCTCACTCGCTCCTCAACTATTTCTGTGGTCTTGCTTCACAATGCTCTTGTGTTTAAGAAGCCCCTAAAATACCTTCCTACTCTTAGTCTGAACTCTAAACCAACTAAAAAAATCACAGAAAAGTAATAAGTACGATACGTTGACTTTATTCCTCATAAAAGTAATATTGGAGAATATAACTTAGATTTACTGCTACAAGGGCTTTCTATGAATGAACCCCAGAACTGGACAGATTAGTCCATCCAGCACTGCTGCATTGGGACAGTCATAGAGGGCCAGGACTGCAAAGAACAGTTAACCACATGCTGTCTCCTGAAGGAGCCCTGATTATGTGTGCCCAAGGAAAGTAAACACCTTGCCAAGGGCTATCCCTGTAGGAGGAAAAAGTATTTCAGGACAACTTCTTTGAAAAACAGTTCAGGAGAGATAGATATCCCTGTCGCAATAGCATATTCATCAAGCAACCTGCTGAAGATATAATTTTCCATATGCCTTGGGAGTAGTTTGTAGTAACAGCCTCTGAATTCCTTAAAATGAGCTATTGCAGTGGAAGCTCCCTTTATGGAGGGGGATTGGAATTAGGTTCTAAATTCTAAGAGTGGGTTGAAAATCATATATTACAAAATTTTTCCTTGAAATCCCTTCAAGAAGGAATTGAGGAAATGTTCATTATTCAACACCAACCCATAAACTCATGCAGATTATGGCAAAATTTATAACAAAGTCCTATCAAGGCTTTAAGGCTAAGAGAATCTCTATAAATTCCAATATAATAGATTACAGAAAAAGAGGGAAAGTTCACCAAATCCATATGTTTTGCGCCAGGTGCAGTGGCTCACGCCTGCAACCCCAGCACTTTGGGAAGCTGAGGCAGGCGGATCACCTGAGGTCAGAAGTTCAAGACCAGCTTGGCCAACATGGTGAAACCCTGTCTCTACTAAAATTACAAAAATTAGCGAGCATGGTGGTGTGCACTTGTAGTCCCAGCTACTTGGGAGGCTGGGGCAGGAGAATCACTTGAACCCAAGAGGCAGAGGCTGCAGTGAGCTGAGATAGATAATATTTTTAAGTATTTGCTGATCTGATATCCTGGCGTTATAATGTTAGATTCCTTTTCATTTTTTCTGTCACATTTTAAAATAAATGACATAGTTTACATTTATGCTTCAGAATATATCATAGAATAATTATTGAGTTTAGAAATAAACCCTGATGCCTGATAGTGTGTGTTTATACCACATCCCATTTAAATGGGAAATTTAGGTGAAAGAACATCATACACTAATGGGGAAGAACGAATTCGTAAAACCTCTTTGCAGAGACATTTGGCAACATCTACGAGAAAAGAAAATGAGGCCTCCATCAGATGCTACTCTCTTAATTATGAACTGTAAAGAGAATCACACATATTTCACCAGAAAAGGTATACAATCATGGTCACAACAACATGGCTAGTCATATCAAAACAATCCCAAAGTCATCTTATTAGAGAAATCTCAGAAATACTATCTTCAGAGAATGAAAATATGGATAACAGCACTAACTTAGCTAAAAGTTTGCAAACAATTGTATGCCTTGTGTAATTCTCTCACAAGTCTGTGAGGAAGGCATCATTATTTCCAGTTTAGAGATGACCAACTCAGACTCACTGATGGAAAAATCAATTTTGCAGAGGTTGAGATGTATCTCTTACTCTCCTCAAAGGACAACACATGGTCTCCCTTTATAGATGATCACTGTCTAAGACTTAAACACTTGTAGTTTTACATGTTGCTAGGATTGTGCCCTTACGGGTACTCACTCAACAACCTCTCTCTCTTTGAAGAAGCTGATGGTGCAGATGAAATCCCAGTGCAAGGTATTGTTGGTGGTAATGGGTCTAGTATGAGGGTCAAGGGCTTGTGAATCCTACTTCCTTTTCATCTTCACTCTCTCTTCATTTGAGATTCAATGGGAAACTGCTTTTCCAATATCAATCTAGAAGATCAAACAAGGGAGCAGAAAATGACAGGGAATTAAAGAAAATAGTTCAATGAGCTTCTTCAGTGTCCCTCAATCCTTCAGCAAAGTTATCCTGCAACACAGAAATGGCCGCAATGCTTCATTCATAACGTTCTACTCCTTCCTGCTCCATTTCCCGGTGGTCTTTGTGGCAGTTATGCTCTTTGGATTAGGTGACAGTCATTATTTCTCTGAGAGGGAAGGAAAAGGTAGGCTAGGACAAACATTTGTTGAAGTCCTACTAGATGCCATCTACTCTGTACAGGATTTCTCACTTACCCCACAGAACAGTTCTGTGAGGAAGGCATTGTGAGTTCCTTTTACAGATGACCAAGAACAGGCCGACAGGGGCTAAGAAAGGATTCCAGCGTCATACATCAAGTAAGAGACAGGAATGAAATTATAGCTTTTGCCCTCATCACAATGTCCATGGATTCCCAACAGAGGAGGTATTGTCCCCAAGGGGTTGAAAACTGATTCTGGAGGGTAGTGGAATGGTAGACATTACAATGGTTTGTGGCACCACAATGAACCACATAGCACATAAACAGTTAGCACTATATCTGTACTGTTAAAATTTCATGTTTCAGGCATGAAGGAGCTAATGAGGAAAAAAAATGAATGTCTAAAAAGCCTCCTTTGGATCATAGTAATGAAAGAAAGTTAAGAAACATTGCATGAACTCAGGGACTTCTGTGGATGATAAGCTACCAAGGCTTAGGAACTAGTCATTTTATACTCCCTCACAGATGCTCACTCAACAACCCCTCTTGGTGATGATGAGGATAATGATGATGAAAGTGAAATGTTGCACCTAGGGCCAAGAGACCTGTGTATGGGAACCATGTGAACTGACTGTCTTTTAAGATGGCAGACAGGGGCTCAGTCAGACAAGTATTTCTTCTGTGAGAGATGGTATTAATGTCTTAAAAGCTAATGTAAACATATCATACTTTAAGTTTTATATCATTTAACCTTAACCTTCATCCAAGTAACCTATTGTGAAATCCATAGTTTAGATCAAGTTATAGGAAGTGAGGAGAGGTTAAGCAAATCGGGGGAACTATGTTGTTAATGCCTGTTCAGTAATAAAACCTGAAATTTCACGAAAGCTTTGTGCCCTGAGGCTGCCAGGAATCTGAGTGTTCAAATCTCCCTGGCACTCATATTCCAGTCTGCACCACAGATACCAAGACTTTGGAGTTTCTATTGTGATGCATTTGTTCAATAAAATATCCAAGCCTTTAACATAGGTATACATGAATCCATACCAATATAAACACAAGTTTGAATTTTTTTTCTCATAAGACCCAGCAATTCCATTTCTAGGTACATAGTCAAGATCAATACATATGTCTACATAAAAAAACTGTATACAAATATATATAGCAACCTTATTTGCAATAGCCCAAAACCGGAAACAACCCAAATGTTCACTGATTGATTAATGTGTTTAAAATGTGATATATTAAGATTATTCTTTGCCAATAAAAGGAATGAAGTATGGATATGCCATAATATAGATAAACCTTCAAAACATATGTGAAGTGAAAGAAGACATATGCAAAAGACCAAATATTACATGATTACATTTACATGAAATTTCTGGAGTAAAGAAATCCATAGAGACACCAAGCATATCTGTGGCTTGAGGCTCTGAGTGGGAGCAAGGATTAATTGCATTCAAGCATGATGGGACTTTTTGGAGTGATAGAAATGTCTAAAACTTGATTATGGTATGGCTGAACAACCCTATACATTTAATAAAATTCATCAAATTATACCCTTTAAATGTGTAAATTGTATATTCTGTAAGTTTAGCTGCAAGAAAGCTGTTAAAAAAATATGACATTGATCTGGTCTTCTGTTGTACCACAGTAACTACTAAACATTTTCATACAAAGGCTTTGATGTACTTGCTTCATATAAATATGAATGTATATAACTGTTGCTATATCCCAAACTGCTAACCCGTTCCTGTGTTCCTTCAAGCAACGACTGTCCCCTTTCCCCTCATGCTACCTTGCGTTTTACTTGTGTGCAAAATTTGATAACTCCTGATCACTTCCACATCCTTCAATTACGGCAGTGGCTTGAGAGTTGATCCGTGACAAAGTCCAGAGCCTGCCCTATGTGACTAGATGTCAATATTACTAGTTTCTTCATTCTTCTGTGGCCACATGATTCTATTTGGGGAGCCTAAATGGAACTACCTTTATGAGTATCAGTATGGCAATACCTAGCAAAGGGTTACATAGGTACACACCCTTTGCACCAACAATTCTCTTTTAGAAGTTTATCTTCTCTGGGTGCAGTGGCTCACGCCTGTAATCCTAGCAATTTGGGAGGCCAAGGTGGAAGGATCACAAGGTCAGGAGTTTGAGACCAGCCTGGCCAACATAGTGAAACCCCATCTCTAGTAAAAATACAAAAAATTAGTCAGGTATAGTGGTGTGCACCTGTAATCTCAGCTACTCGGGAGGTTGAGGCAGGAGAATCCTGTGAACCTGGGAGGCGGAGATTGCAGTGAACCGAGATTGTGCCACTGTACTCCAGCCCAGACAACAGTGTGATACTCCATCTCAAAAAAAAAAAAAAAAGAAAAAAAAAAGTTTATCTTCAGGACATAGTGGAAGATGTTGATGAGGATCCAGTAAGGCCTGTCATCCTGATAATTCCCTTTCTTCACTGCAGAGCCTGAATTTTGAGACCAAATGGAACATAAGGCCATAAACAGGCAGAAGGAAGAGGGAAACATAGTTGTTGGCACACACAAACTCTCTCATACAACAATCATGTTTTGTTATCACAATACCAGAATTCTCCAGGAGGATACGTTCTGCTCACCTGTACAAACAGCTACAGAAACTGTGCCCAGAACTGTGATCTTTTGCAGTGCACAGACTCTGAAAATATTTCATCCACAGAATGTCAGTAATAGGAACTATCAGAACACTCTGAATAACATAGAGCTGTAAAACTGATAATATCACATCCGTAGGATGGAATTCTAGAAGGTAGCAAAAACAAAGTATAATGAAAATAATGATGAAAAAATGATTTCTTGCTTATGAGATTAATGATTCACATTATTTTTAATGTGTGGAAAAATATCTATTTTCATACTGTGATATGTGGAATATAAATTAGTAATAGTATTTTGAAGAATATTATAGTTCAGAGGATCAGGAATTTACAAATAAATGCTCACAAAGATATTTCCATCTATATGAACATAGTGTTAAGCATACTACTGTTTGTAATAGAAAAAACAGTAAGGGAACTAAATTTTTATAATTAGGATACCAATTAAATAAATTTTAGGGCATCTACATGATGAGATGATACCCAGGCCATTAAAAAAAAGAAACTAAAATTTTGTTGTAAGGTTATTTCAAATGTTATCACAAAAATATATTTACACAGAAAGGTGATCACAGTAACAGTAAAAGTGGGTTACAAAAATCATAAATGGTCTGATCCCATTTTTGCTTATATAGGCTTCTAGGTATTTAACCACAAGTCTCAAAGCATAATCATTAAAATGATCTTTTAGTTCCTCTCACATACATCTTTCTCTTTAACATACTAAAAATCTGCACTTCCTGTTTAGAGGCCCTCAGTATCTTTTTTTGCCTGTGTATGCCACCTTTTATACCCAGACTTCCAGAAAGTTCTATCTTGTAAATTTGGGCCACAGTCCCTCCCTTTCACAATTCAGCTTACCCTAGTTCAGGCTGCAGTTCAGGCTTCTGTTACAAGGTGGCACTAATGCACCTCCATTATCAAACTTCTTTGCAAAGAAGTGTGTGTAAAAACCAAAAAATACAATACCTCCCTAAAAACCCAGCTTATTAACTTGTATGGAATTATTCAAATGATTCAAATTCTTCCTGAAAAAACTTAAAAGTGCAAAAGAAGACTGTAAAAAAAAATACTCTGGGGCAGCCATATGATGGAACACCAGGTAGCTCTACTGCCCCTTGATAGCTGGGGGCTGGAAGGCATAAGGTGGGGCAGGGGTAGCAGGAGGAACTGACAGAGGAGAGGTGCAGTGGTACGGGGTCTGGGCTGCTGTGTTCAGTGTCCTGGAGACTAATAGAGTTAGGAGGTAATCTGGAAAGCCTGTACAGATTGGGGTAATGAAGGATGAAAACCCTGCTCTCAGGGAGGGACCCCTCTACACTGTGAACACCCCAACCTAACCTACGCCAATGAGGTAAGAGATAAATCCATGAATGTGAGGTAGATTTGGGGTCAAAAGCAAAGGGAAATGCTTTAATATACAGATTTCCAAACAGAGGGGACAAAATTTAACCCACTACAGTGAGGCAATAAAGTTATAAAACCAAATGTAAAATGAGGTATCTTTTATATGTAAACATATAAATGCATGCCTATCTATATAAATACCTCCATAAGAAACTTCTGGAAGAATATAATGCAGATAAAAACATTGTAGTAGGCTTTGGGGTATTGTTATTCTATTTTCTATTTAATCTATTTTTATCTATAATAAACATGTATTGTACTTGCAAATACACAAAATGTTAAAATGGCTGGAAAACATGAACCTTCTCTGCCCCAACCACAGAAGAGCCATTCACTGTAGGATAGGAACATGCCTACAGCACAGAAAGGGAGAGGAGATGTTGGGGGAGTATTCTCCATAGTATTATTGGACATAATTCCCCAAAATTCAAAACGACACAGATTACTATCAATATTTTAAAATTCTGCCCAGTTAACAGAGAAAATACACAGAATCTCAATTTGTTTTATTGTACTGTTCCCTGATGAAAAGTAAGATTTTTCTTATCATTTGAGAGGCAGCAGCACACGCTGGATAGATGAATTTACTTGGGAGCCACGCAGCCTGTGTTCAAATCTAAGCCTTGCCACTTGCTAACTCTGTCTTCATTGTACCTCAGTTTCCTTATATCTAAAGTCAGGTAACAATAGATCCTTCTCATGCT